ATGGGTTCAGGGCTCACGTGGGTCCGGGGCTCACGTGGGTTCAGGGCTCACGTGGGTTCAGGGCTCACGTGGGTTCGGGGCTCACATAGGTTCTGGGCTCACGTGGGTTCAGGGCTCACATGGGTTCGGGGCTCCAGCTTCAGGTGAAACTCAACCAGCGAGGGGTGGAGCCTGCCCTTCACAGAGCAGCCTGTCTCAGAGCAATGCTGCCAGCTGGCCCGGAGCTCAGGACCGCAGGGATGACAAGGTAGGACTGGAACGCCCACCTCCCAGCCACGGCCCGGCCCGTGCAATCACCTGTGCGGGGGTGGGGGGGCTCAGGTGTGTGACCGGAAGGGAGGGGCGGGAGGCTCAGGTGTGTGACCGGAAGGGAGGGGCGGGAGGCTCAGGTGTGTGACCGGAAGGGAGGGGCGGGAGGCTCAGGTGTGTGACCGGAAGGGAGGGGCGGGAGGCTCAGGTGTGTGACCGGAAGGGAGGGGCGGGAGGCTCAGGTGTGTGACCGGAAGGGAGGGGCGGGAGGCTCAGGTGTGTGACCGGAAGGGAGGGGCGGGAGGCTCAGGTGTGTGACCGGAAGGGAGGGGCGGGAGGCTCAGGTGTGTGACCGGAAGGGAGGGGCGGGAGGCTCAGGTGTGTGACCGGAAGGGAGGGGCGGGAGGCTCAGGTGTGTGACCGGAAGGGAGGGGCGGGAGGCTCAGGTGTGTGACCGGAAGGGAGGGGCGGGAGGCTCAGGTGTGTGACCGGAAGGGAGGGGCGGGAGGCTCAGGTGTGTGACCGGAAGGGAGGGGCGGGAGGCTCAGGTGTGTGACCGGAAGGGAGGGGCGGGAGGCTCAGGTGTGTGACCGGAAGGGAGGGGCGGGAGGCTCAGGTGTGTGACCGGAAGGGAGGGGCGGGAGGCTCAGGTGTGTGACCGGAAGGGAGGGGCGGGAGGCTCAGGTGTGTGACCGGAAGGGAGGGGCGGGAGGCTCAGGTGTGTGACCGGAAGGGAGGGGCGGGAGGCTCAGGTGTGTGACCGGAAGGGAGGGGCGGGAGGCTCAGGTGTGTGACCGGAAGGGAGGGGCGGGAGGCTCAGGTGTGTGACCGGAAGGGAGGGGCGGGAGGCTCAGGTGTGTGACCGGAAGGGAGGGGCGGGAGGCTCAGGTGTGTGACCGGAAGGGAGGGGCGGGAGGCTCAGGTGTGTGACCGGAAGGGAGGGGCGGGAGGCTCAGGTGTGTGACCGGAAGGGAGGGGCGGGAGGCTCAGGTGTGTGACCGGAAGGGAGGAGCAGGGGGCTCAGGCTGGTTGGGCTCAGTGGCTGGTCCCACGCGGCTCACGCAGCGGAGGCCTGAGCAGGGAAGGGACCCCTGGGCCTGTGGACCAACCAGTGAGGAAAGACGGGCTGAGGACTGGCGAGGGCTGCGTGGAAGTTCTGACCCGTCTCCCCACCCGTGTCCTCTCCAGCCCTGGCTCTTACATCATCTCAACCGATCTGGGAGTTACTATCCTGGTCTTTATCACGGGCCATTTGAAATCCCTTCTTGGAGGAGGAAGAACTTAAACGAGAGGAGCTGTTACCCAGGCCTGGCTCAGGAGACCTCTGTGATGGGGACCTGGGGCCAGACGAAATCCGTCTCTTCCTCAGGCTTCTGGGTAGAGAAGCAGGAGTGGCCGCCCCTCCCCCACCCCCGGTCCATGATGGATGCTATGCCGCTTCCCCACTTCACAGGCGAAGCCGCCAAGCTCCAGCACATTCCACACTTGCTCAGAGCAGGTGGCAGCGGCTGCAGACCCGGCCTGGGTACCCAGCCTCGCGTGCTGCCCGTCAGCTCCGGCTGCCGTGGGCAGGGGAAGGCCCACTCACTCACACGCAATGGCTCCGATGGAGGATGGAGCCGTGTGGTCTGAGAGCGCACTCGCCCTGGGAATCTGTGTGCGGAGAGCCAAGTGCAGTTACGTGGGGAGGGTCAACTCTAGTTAGAGAGCCGGGCTTACCCTGACTGCGGCCCCAGTGTGGGTTGTCTCCTCTGTGCCACAGCGGGCATGCCTTAAAATGGGGAGGGAAGCCCTAGCCGGTTTGGCTCAGTGGATAGAGCATCGGCCTGTGGACAGAAGGGTCCCAGGTTTGATTCCAGTCAAGGGCACATGCCCGGGTTACAGGCTCAATCCTCAGTAGGGGGCATGCAGGAGGCAACTGATCAATGATTCTCATCATTGATGTTTCTCCCTTCCTCTCTGAAATCAATAAAAATATATTTTAAAAAAGAAAATAAAATGGGGAGGGAAGCTGATCTCCCCAGGTTCAGGGGGAGCGCAGTGCGTTCTTTGCATCAAGCAGGACAGTAGCTGGTACACAGCAAGGACACAGGTGTGGCTCTGAGGGCCACTGGTGTTGGGAAGCAGGAGCCAGGAACCCAGGGCAATTGTCCCTCGAGGGGAGCGGGCCCTGCACTCACTGGGGCCTGGGGCTCCCCAGGGTCCAGGGTGACCTGGGTCAAGGTGCTAGTAATGACCACCTGAGGCGAGTGCACACACGTGGGGCCACTGCGAGTGGGGGCTCAGCAGGTCCAGGCTGAGTGTGTGACTTGGGTGTGGTTCACACGGTGGGTGCAGAGCTCAGGCCCAAATCAAACTCCACACGGTTCACCACCTAATGGTCCAGGGAGAGGGGGATTGGAGGAAAGGGCGGTCTCCACAGGGCACCAGAGACCCCTCCCGCTGAGTGTGGGCAGGTCTGGGCACCAGAGCGAAGCCCAAGGAAGCGGCCCAGGCATAGCAAACCCCAGGGCCTCTGCAAAGGCTCCCCTTGGCGAGGTGGGCAGGCGGGGCCACAGAATGGAAAGCTCTGAATGGAAAGCGGCCATTGCTTTAATTCCTGCCAGGGTCTGACACCACAGGGCCCACCTGCCCCAATCACTGCCCGCTCCATCAACATGATCGTTTACAAAAATAAATATGAAAAAGCAACATTTTAGTGACCGTGAATTAATCCGAGCGTAATTAAATGTGTTTAAACGTCTGGCAGAGCTCCTGAATGCACCAAAGGATTTGGAAGCACTTGGTTTGGTCTCGGGGGAACATGGAAGGAGGGCAGGCCCAGCCCCCGGAGGGTCCAGCTGGAGCCGAAGGCCGCCTCCGCCCCCTCACATTTCGGAGTCCGCGTACATCCCGTTAATCAAGTAGTCCACCTGCGTGTAGTCCTTCTTCTTGTAGTTCTCGTAGGCCTGCAGCGCAAACAGGACCACGACCGCGAAGAGGAAGGCCACCCCAAGCAGGAGCATGGCCAGCAGCGCCCCCCTGTTCACGGGGGACAGGGGCAGGGCCCTGGTGGTGACCGCCAGGTACTGGCCCTGGGTGCTGAGCTGGCACGAGTCCGTGGTTGGCACCTGAGGGTCCCCTGAGCTCCCGGGGGTTGGGCCGGTGGAAGCAGGGCCACCTGTGGCCTCAGGCCACACCTGCTCGGGTGTGGAGGGCGTGGCAGGCCCCGTGGCCCCCCGTGGAGATGACACAGGGCTTGGCGGTGTGGTGGAGGACGTGGCTTCCACCCCAGGTGTGGGGCTGGCCTGTGGCACAGGAGCTGGCACTGTGCTGGCCGCTGGCCCCTCCGCTGTCACCGCCGTGGTGGACACGGGTGGCACTGCTGGCATTTGCCGTGGTGGCACTGCTGGCATTTGCCGTGGTGGCACTGCTGGCATTTGCTGTGGTGGCGGCAGCAGTCTGCGTGCTGGTGGCCAGCGTTGTCCTAGGTGCCGCTGTTGGCAATGTACCATTGCTGGGAGCCTGGGTGCGGGGTGTGCTGAGAGCTGCCGTGGACGCCGGGGCTGGCCGTGTGGACGTCGGCGTGGTGACCCTGGAGTCCGTGAGGTTGGCGGGACCCACGGCAGCTGCCGAGGTGCCCACGTCAGTCCTCCCTGCCGTGACTGCAGGGGCGCTGTGGGCGGCTCCCGAAGGCTCTCTGGCCAACGTGACAGGAGAGGGTGTCGTCGCGCCCTCCGAGGTTCTGTTAAAGATGCTGTCCGTCGTTTCCCTGGGTGCGCTTTTTGTGACTAAATCAGCCCGCGTCTGGTTGAAGACGAAGGTCCCTTAATGTCAGAGAGGGGAGAAAACGGCAGTCAGGGGGCTGGTGGCGGCTTCGCTGGCCTGTCTCCTGGGCCCGGAGAGACGAGGGCGGCGTGTGTGCAGCTTCCCGTCTCCTCGCCGCCACACCGGCCTGCAGCCCACCGCAGGGGCAGCTGGCACTTTGGTTTTAAAACTGCTCTGCCCTCTCTGAACCCCAAGTCCATGGAAGGCTAAGAGCTTCCCTCTTTGATCCAAACCCCAAAACGGCAGACAGGGTGAGCCTCACATCACGGGTGTGACTCCTCATTAAACCCTCAAACACCATGTGGCTTACAGAGCAGATATTC